GATAGACAAAACTAAAACAGAAAAAGCTAGGTGTATGGCTCATGGAGTGTGGGTGGTTGGGGAGTGAAGGGATAGTGGGACAACAACAAGGGAATGGGTAACAATGATCAACAAGTAATTTACTCATCGCCTTACTCATATAACTGTAACCCCTCTGTACAGTATCTTTAAAATAAAATGAAATAAAAATAAAATAAAGAAAAATTGCTTAGCAAGCTAAAGGCACTGACATCTAATCTTTGGATTATAAACCCTCTAAAAATGTGCTTCTGTGTTGGGTATTTTGTGACCTGAATTTCTCTATGTGCCTTAATCTCTAGATGTTATTTATGAACTCTAGAAGTGACTCTTTGGCCACTGAGGAAGATCTAACAAAATCCATGTCAGAGGCAAACTGAGTGACCTGCAACACAAGAGCTCCAGTTGGATCAACAGTCATTAAATGTGTGAATAGTCTTGAGTGGGTGGCTCATGCCTGTAAAATCTAACTACTCAGAAGGCTGACATCTGAGGATGTCAGCAGGAAAGTCCATGAGACTCTTATCTCCAATTATCACTGGAAAAACCAGAAGTGAACATGTGGCTCAAAGTGGATAGTGCTAGCCCTGAGTTCAAGCTCCATGAGTGACCAAAAAAAAGTATGAATTGCTGATGAATATAAGTTCTTGGGTTTTATGCCAAAAGGTTTTCGAGTGGTTCATTGCACACTATTTTCGATAAAAACCAATTTCTACACTATTGATATTTACAAAACAATCGGAAACAGGAGAAATAAAAAAAATCCACAAAATATATGAATAAATAGAATACATTTTAGTTCATTTATGGAAACATCTAAGGAATAGTTAGTACTATTACAAATATTACAGAAATATATAATGTAATAGTAATGTATGGTAATATATAAATGGAGCAATAAAATGTGACTTTATATGTACAATAAATAAGTATCAAATATCATTAAGTTCACAGTTAAAAAATGAGTGGCATATGTCCCTATGTGCCAGATGTTTTAAAACATGCATATAGATTTGTTTGTTGCTGCAAACATACATATATATATATATGTGTGTATTTATAGATATCAAGAGAAAGGTGCATCATGTGCAGATACACACACACAAACACACATACACTAACACAAATTATGAGGCATCTGATGAAATGTAGCTTAGTTTGTCCAGAGCCTGTGCTAAATAGACAGAAATGTAAGAATACAGAGCATGGAGACTTTTGAGGAAACCTATATATTTCTAGCCTATATATTGCTAAATAATCTTATTTCTACACTTACCATTGTCATGAAAAGTTCAAGAAAACAGAATTACTTTGGATGACCTTTTGTAGTAGTTCTTCTGCATTAACAAATGGGTAGGATAGCTTGCAGATTAAGAAAGTGTGTTTCTGAACTTGTCTGTGAGAAACTCTCTAGAGAGAATTGACTGTGAGAGGAAGACCCACCTCATAGTCCACAGCTCCTTTCAATAGGATGCAGTCTCTCGTGCAATAAAAGAGCCAGGAGGAGGAAGGAGAACATTCACTCTGCTTCTTGGGTGACATGATGTGAGCTCCACTGTACTCTGCCCACATGGCAGAGTAAAATTTCTAACCTAAGATTGAAATAATGAATTCTTCCCTTCAAGTTGCTTTTATTAAGGTCTTGTCACAGCAATTAAAAGCTAAGTACACATCTTTATAACATTTTCTAACTAACTTTGACCAATGATGTAAGATGGATGCTGTACTGAGAGCATTTGATATCACCTTCTCTGGGTTGAGAGGGTTGGCTATTATTTGTGTTGGAAACTATGGAAATTTGTTAGATGATATGGTGAGGTAGATTTTTAAGAGGGTGTATAAGTGTGGGAAAATAAGTTTCTTTTCTTTTTTGGTGGGGGGCAGTCGTGGGGCCTGAACTCTGGGCCTGTGTGCTGTCCCTCAGCTCTTCAGCTCAAGGCTAGTGCTCTACCACTTGAACCACAGCGCCACTTCCAGCGTTTTTTCTTTTTGCTTATGTGGTGCTGAGGAATTGAACCCAGGGCCTCAGGCATGCAAGGCAAGCCCTCTACCACTGAGCCATCTTCCCAGCCTGGGAAATAAGTTTCTATGCAAGGGGTGTAGAATAACATACCCAACTCATCTATTTAGCCTCAGGAGGGTGAAATGTGGGTGTGAATAAGGCAGGAGCGCTGCAGGCCAGGAGGTGAGTTCAGAACACTGGTATCTGGGTGCCATATTCTTGGAGCAGGAAGAGAGTAGCAGCTCTTCTCTGCAGGAGGCAAGTGATTATAGAGAAAGGTTTCCCCCTACAGGCTCCATGTACAACTCCACTCTTAAAACTGAGCTTCTAGACCCTTTGCATTAAACTTCTCAATAGTTTGTGAACAAATCCACATCCCATGATAAGTCCATTGGCACTGAGTGCACTTGACATCTGTAACTAAGACCAGTGATGAAATCACACAGAGAGTAACAGGCTCATTTTCTTCTAATTATAATACTTCCCCAGCACAGTGGCTTCGGGAAATCAACACTAGTAACATTATAAGTCATCAGGATTCAATGACCAATAGACATAAAATAAATGCAAATCAAAACAACACACCGCAGTTAGAAAAGCTATCACCAAAAACTCTGATAACAACAGATGCTTGAGGGGATGCGGACAGAATGGAACCCTACTGCACTGTTGGTGGGAGTGTAAACTTGTTCAACCACTTTGGAAAGTAGTATGGAGGTCCCTCAAAAGACTCCACATAGAGCTACCCTATGACCCAGCAGTCGCACTTTTGGGCATTTACCCAAATGAGCAAAAACCAGACCAACCTAAAACTACCAACAAGACTATGTTTATTGTAGCACTATTTACCATAGCTAAAATATGGAACCAACCCAGATCCCTCTCAGTAGATGAATGGATCAAGAAAATGTGGTATATATACACAATGGAATTCTATGCCTCCATCAGAAAGAATTACATTGCCCATTTTTTAGGAAATGGGAAGACTTGGAAAAATTATATTAAGTGAAGTAAGCCAGGCCCCAAAACATAGGTCCCATGGCTTCCTTTATTTGCCATAACTAGTATATGAGACCAGCAGAATCGGTCAGATAAGTTGATGTTAGGGAAATGAACCCCAAGATAAGGACTCAATTTTTTTTCTTTCTTGCTATTGTTTCTAACATATTTATGAGATATATCTTTGTTGTTTTGTAAGGTCTCTCCTCCATGGTATAAGCCCTGTTTTCACTGTATTTGATGTTGGTATATTTTGAGAAGGGGAAGGAAAAAACAAATTGTTTAAATAGGGATACAGGTGGACCCATTGCAACAATGAGATGTACAAGATATTATGTCAAAAAACGAACTTTACAACTTTGGCACAGAGCGGGGTGACGGGTGGTGATGGGAGTGGTGGAGGAGATGGGAAGAGATGTTAAGGGAAACAAAGCAGGAGGTAACAATGCTTGATAAGAAATGTACTCATTACCTTGACCATGTAATTGTAACCCCTCTGTACAGTATTTTCACAATTAAAAAAAAAAAAAAACAACTACCGCAGAGGGAACCACTGGTTCTCCCCATCTGCACCATGTCATGCATGAATAGTGATAGATTTTCCTTTACCACTTAAGCCCTCCACATGCCATGGAACCTGTGCTTCTTTGTGCCTGGATTACTTCACTTATTATAAATTTTTCCAAGCCTTTCAATTTCTTCACAAAAGAGGCAGTGTCATTCTTTCTGATGGAGGCATAGAATTTTATTGTATACATATACTAAACTTTCTTGATCCATTCATCTACTGAGGGGCATCGGGATTGGTTCCATATCCTAACTATGGTAAATAATGCTGTGATAAACATGGTTGTGCTGGTAGCTTTGGTATGACCTTGTTTGTGATTGTTTGGGTAAATACTCAAAAGTGGGATTGCTAGGTCATAGGGGAGCTCTATGTGGAGACTTTTGAGGAACCTCCATACTACTTTCCAAAGTGGTTGAACAAGTTTATACTCCTACCAACAGTAGGGTTCCCTTCTGTCCACATCCCCTCCAGCATTTGTTGTTACTAGATTTCTTGGTTATAACTACTCTAACTGGGGTGAGGTGGAATCTCAACATTTTCTTCAATGAAATTGAAAGCCAAGATTTACTATCACACTCTTTATGAAGCCAGCATAACCCTCATCCAAAACCAGGCAGGGGCTCATCAAAGAAAGAGAATGATAGACCCATTTCTTTGCTGAATATGGTCACAAAACTTCTCAACAAAATCTTGGCCAATTGACTTCAACAACTCTTCAAAAAAAATCATATACCATGACCAAACAGGATTCATTTTAGACATGAAAACCTCTTCAATATATACAAATCAATTAATAAAATTAAACAAGAGCAAGGATAAGAACCACACAATTATCTCAAAAGATGCAGAGAAAGAATTTGACAAGATCCAACACCCCTTCATGATGAAAGCTCTGGGAAAACTAGGAATCTATGGAACATTACTCAATACAATAAAGGCTGTATATGACAAACCTACAGCCAGCATTATACTAAATGGCCATTTAGGTCATACCAAATCCATTTCCTCTAAATTCATAAATGAGACAAGGATGTCCACTCTCTCCACTCCTCTTGAACCGAGTATTAGAATGTCCAGATCATGGGCCTCAAGCAAGAAAGCTCAGGGATTGTGCCCATGTCCTGTAGCTGAGCCCAGCTCCAGCGGATTTGCACGTGCCCCCACACAGCCAACTGCCTGAGCCCTTCTTCATGGTCTGCTCACACCCTGTGCAACAGTCAGTCCAAGTCAGCACACAGGAAGAGTGAGGGCCTCTGTTCAGCTCAGGGTATTCTGCTGCTCTGACTGAAAGATAAAGAAGGACAAGACTAGGAATTTATTGAGCCCATGGTTAACAGAGATGCCTTACTCCTCATGGAAACTCCCAGAACATAATTGATTCTGTGGACATTTGGTTTATGTTTTCAATATCAGGTGCCAGATGTGACATCCCCATTTCCCAGTGTCCATCCTCCCTGTGTGCATCTGTAGGAGACAGTCTCCATCACTTCCAGATCCAATCAGGGATTAGTCGTGATTCACAGTGGCATCACCAGAAACAATGTGATGCTCCTAAACTATCAATTTACAGTCTGAGGTGACATCCAGATTTAGTGGCAATGAATAGGGAAGAGAGTCTACTTTCACTATCAGCAGCCTGCAGTCTGAAGATATTGCAACTTACTACTATCAACTGAGTAATAAACAGTTCAACTCCCACAGTGATACAAGACCAAATATAAACCTCTCTGGGGCATGGAGGAGAAAATGTGAGAGGCTGGGCTGTGCCAGCTACTCCTCCTGATTCCTCAGCCTCCTGACAGTGTATCTGAGCCACAGCCAGGCTCTGAAAGTCACTGGGAGATTTGGTAGAGGGGGTCATCGACAACCCTCTCAATCTTGTCTGTCTTCTATCAGCCTCAGGAGAACCAACCAGATAATGCTTCTGGTGTCTTATTAAAAAACACAGATCTGTCCTTCTGAACCTCTGAAATATGGTATCCAGGTGGATATAATTTGCAGTTTGCCACACAATAGGCCTTTGCCTGCCTTGTGCTCCCTTTACACTGCTGCACCCACCTGCTAATTTGCATAGTGCTCCCTAAGGAGGACTTTCCCATTTGAGTCTAAGATGAAGGCTCAGCTTGCCATTGTCTTGTCCTATCAGGACTCTTAAAAAAGAATTCTTTTAGTAAGCTCCTGGGCTGCTAATGCTCTGGCTCACTGGTAAGGACAGAGGGAGATGAACAATGAAATCATGTAAATCGCAAGGAAATGAAAGGAACTAGATCCTTATATTGAGTGACATAGGTCAGGATGCAATAGAAAATAGTGTTCGGTCCTACTTACTTGTGGAACCCAGACTTAAATGATGGTAGTGATGATGGTGGTGATGGTGATGATGGCATTGATAATAATAATAATAATAATAATATAGCATGAATGCTAAATGGAAAATATCTGAAGGGAGACAGGTGAGGGTGAAAGAAAGGGACAAAAGCACACTAAGTGTAGAAGATGAATTGGTATATAAATAGATATACATATATATATACCCACATGTGCATTTGAGTTACGAAGTTCCTTTACACAGAATGAAAAATGGTGGGAGTGGGAGACGAAGAGTACAGCAACAGAAATGAGGTGGTGAGTTTTTCAAAATAAGCTGCATTCAGGTAGGGATTCTTATCATAAACTAACCTCCTGTTGTTAATATATGACAATTACAATTTATCATACAACAAAATAATAAAATGCGATGAATATGCATATAAAACTCCTGGGAACCTGCACACCTATTAACAAAGAATGGTAAACTCCAAATGAAAATTTGTCAGCTGCTATGTCATAAAAAGGCCACTAGATGGAAAACAAATGTTACAAGAAAAACCTGAAACCTAACCTTGTCAATAGGAGCTTGAAGCCAGGGAGTTCCATCTCAGGCTTTCATGGCACACATGGCATGTGGGACCATGTTTACAGAGGGGATTGTGTCTCCCCACATCCACTTTGTAAACTTTAATCAAACCTGACAAGGATGACACACAAAATTTCTTGTAATGATGTCATTAAGAGCAGGTCAGAATGGTGAGGGAAGGAAGGTGGACCCTGCAGATATGCAGCCCTGAAGGGAACATGTGCACACACCCTGTCCAGCTGTGGGAGGTGAGAGGGGGCTGCAGTGTCAGTGCTGTCCCCAGCAGTTCCCAAGAGTCCTCTGCAGTGATCAGGCCACTGATTGTCCTTAAAGGCACAGATGGTGTCCTGAGCTTCATGATGTCAGACTAGAAATATAACTGCTCATTGTTCCTAGCATTCTTTTTCAGTGTCAGAATTTAAAATGCTGAGTTAGACAATTAGAATTATATTAATGAATGTTTTAGTTTAATAGGTAATTTACTTCATATAAACAATAGATATATAAATTCTACATTCATTTGTGAACTGCTCCTCTCTGTTCTGAGAGGAATAGACTTTTTCCTTGGACACAGTCCTCACTCAGGTTCATGGCCCAGACCATTAACACCTTTCTTTCCTGTATGCTCTTTCTTCTTCCAGGAAGATCCTCAGAAATATTTTCTTATGTCTTCCTTGGATTCATCTCTTTCCTTAGATTTCAGCTTCATCTTTCAGCCAGCTACATTCCTCACACCTCAGAGCAGTGTAAGCCTACCAGCAGCTCTGATATGAGGCTAGTATTCCAAGTCTTCCATGTATTTCAGTACCTGAAGTCTATGTAGATTTCAAATTCACAAGTCCCATGGCACATGTCCACACATGCTGCAGGAAGCCCTGGAGTGTGGATCTGGAGAATGTAATGTGTTATCTCCTTGGACTTCCAGTAGTAAATACCATGTGATCACCCTGTTCATCTAACTCTGGTATGACAATCTACACAATGGGATGAAGCATGTCCACATGCTAATCTCTATGTGGGGACCTTCTTCGCTTCACTTTGGCTTCACTGTCTGTGATTCCCCAGGTTGAAGATGTTCTTTGCTAACTGGGTAGTACCAGTTTCTCAACTCCACCCTTGACCACATTGCAATTTATCATTTCTATACCTATATGAATCATATCTCCTAAATACAACTGGTGAAAACTGCTTTATTGGTGGTCATGCCTATAATACTAGCTACAGAGGAGGCTGAGATCTGACGATTAGGGTTGGAAGTCACCTTGGACATAAAAGACTATGAGTCTCTGTTATCAGTTAAACACCAAAAGGCTGGAAGTGAAGCTGTGACTCATTTGGTACACTACCAACCTTGAGCACAAAAGCTCAGGGACTAAGTCAAGCCTCAGGCCTAGCTCACAAAAAAACGGCTAGACTTAGGACCTAAAAGACGTGTAACTTGAAGGACTATGCAGGTAAAGAAGCATAATGAAGTTTAAGTAGAGTTCAATCCTTGGTCTAGAGAACAACTCAGCTTCTGAGAAAGAAGTTTCCATTAATAGATGAAACAAATGTCCTCTAAAAGTTCAGAAATATCTGGCACATACATGCATAATACCCACAAAGCTAGATGTGGTTCCAGGTATTTTCCTAAAACTAAAGAAGAAATACCTGATGTGAACTGTTCTAGAGGGAGGCGATAGGGAAGAACATTCAGAAGGGAAGCAATCCAGTCCTTTATATGAGTTCACAGGACACCAATGAATGCACCAACGGATTGTTCATATACCTCTGATCATGAGACTTTATTGTACATATTTCAGAGCTACCTTCCTTTAAAAACTTTGAAACCTGTTCATTTCTCTCTTTCTTTCAATGCATCTATCTGTCTTTCTACCTACACATGTATTATTACTTTAATAACACACATGTCTGGGTACTAATGTTCATTATTAAACCATATAATAAGGTTCAGGCAAACAATCTGAATACTCTTAAAAATTCTGTGTCACAAACTCCACTGATACCAGAGTAAGGGGCATTCTAAAATTAATTTCCCTTGAAAATGTTTGTCTTTGAGTGACTGATTTTAGCAAAGGAAAAATGAACCAAGTCATGGATAAGTTGAAAATGTTAAAAATTCTATTTGGGGTTGGGAATTGAGCTCAGTGGAAGAGTGCTTACCTGGAAAGTGCAAGGCCCTCAGTTCAGTCTTTAGCTCAGGGAAAAAAATCTATTCTTATCACAGGCCAACGGAATCATAATGTTTTCTTGTCTCTAGAAACACATTATCTACAAGGACATTGGACATCTGGGTTCTCCAGGTCTGTGCTTTGTCACTGAGATCTGCCAGCCTGCAGATCTGATTCGCACTGCCCAAACCATGTTGATTTGCATGTGCCCAGAGCACAGCCCACTGCACTGGGAACTTCTTCACAGGCTGCTCACACTCTGTACAGGAGAAGTTCCAGTCAGCAAACAACATGGACATGAGGGTCCCTGCTCAGCTCCTGGGGCTCCTGCTGCTCTGGATTGCAGGTAAGGAAAGATGATACTGAGTTTATTCATCCAGTGTTCAGCTGAGCTATGTGGCTGTTCATGGAATTACTTGGGCAGCAGAATTAATTAAAGTGCTAATGGCTTTTATGTTTCCAATGTCAGGTGCCAGATGTGACATCCAGTTGACCCAGCCACCATCCCTGTCATCATCTCTGGGAGACAGAGTCACCATCACTTGCAGAGCGAGTCAGGGCATTGGCAATAATTTACATTGGTACCAGCAGATAGCAGGGAAAGCTCCAAAGCTCCTGCTCAGTTATGCAACTACTTTGCAATCAGCGTTTCCACCAAGGTTCAGTGGCAGTGGATCTGGGACAGAGTTTACTGTCCCCATCAGCAGCCTGCAGCCTGAAGATGCCGCAACTTATTTCTGTCAACAGAGTTATACCTATCCTCCCAAAGTGACACAAGTCATTACAAAAACCTCCCAGCAAGGCAGAAGTGAGAGGCTGGCCTGTCCCAGCTGCTGCTCCTGGGACCTCTACCTGCACAACTGCCTCTACTCTACACAACTTCTCAGATGAAGCCAAACTTTAAGGTCACTGGAGAGAGAGGTCATGGAGGCATTTGCACACACTAACTCTCTGTCTTCCTGCTCATCCCAAGCAGCACACACCTTACAATGACTCTTCTGACTTTAAAAATCACTGATCTTTGATAAGGGAGCTAAAAAAATAGAATGGAAGAAAGACAGCCTCTTCAGTAAATGGTGCTGGAAAATTGGTTAACTACTTGTAGAAAACTAAAGCTAGATCCCTATATATCACCCTGCACCAGAATCAACTCCAAATGGATCAAAGACCTCGGAGTCAAAGCAGACACTATGAAAACATTACAGGATGGAATAGAAGAAACCCTAGGTCTCCTTGGGACAGGTCAAAATTTTCTTAATAGAGACCCTGAAACACAACAAATCAAAGAAAGGTTGGACAAATGGGATTGCATGAAATTTCAGAGCATCTGCATGGCAAAGGACATAGCTAGCAAGATCAATAGAAAGCCTACCAATTGGGAGAAGATGTTCACTAGCCATACAACGGACAAGGGTCTCATATCTAAAATATACTTGGAACTCAAAAAATTAAATCCCCCAACAACAAATCTTCAAAGAAACAACTACCCAATAAATATGTGGGCTAAAGACTTAAAGATAAACTTCTCTGAAGAAGAAAGAAGGATAGCCAATAGACACATGAAGAAATGCTCAACCTGCTTAGCCATAAAAGAAATGCAAATCAAAACAACATTGAGATATCACCTCACCCCAGTTAGAAAGGCAAAAATCAAGAACTCTAATAACAACAGATGCTGGAAGGGATGTGGACAAAGGGAACCTTACTTCATTGTTGGTGGGAGTGTAAACTTGTTCAACCACTTTGGAAAGTAGTATGGAGGTTCCTCAAAAGACTCCACATAGAGCTCCTCTATGACCCAGCAATCCCACTTTTGGGCATGTACTCAAATGCTTACAAACAAGACCACACTAAAGCTCACAACAATGTTTATTGCAGCATTATTTACTATAGCTAAGATATGGAACCAACCAAGATGCCCCTCAGTAGATGAATGGATCAAGAAAATGTGGTCTATATACAAATGGAATTCTATGCCTCCATCAGAAACAATGACATTGCCCCATTTGTGAGGAAATGGAAAGACTTGGAAAAAATTATATTAAGTGAAGTAAGCCAAGCCCAAAGAAACATAGGTCCCATGGTTTCCCTTATTTGCAATATTTACTATATGTATGAGTCAAGCAGAAAAGGTCAGATAAGGTGATGTTAGGAAAATGAACCCTAAGATATGTATTTAAATGTCTTTTTTTCTTTCATGCATTTGTTTCTAATGCATTTATAAGATTATTTCTTTGTTGCTTTGTATGTCCCTCCCCCACAGTATAACCCCTGCTTTCACTGTAATTGATGTTGGTATAATTTGTGGAGGGGAAGGGGAAAAATAATTGTTTAAATAAGGATACAGGATGACCGGTTGCAACAATGAGAAGTACAAGTTGTCATGTCAAAAACGAACTTTACAACTTTGCTGGGGGGGGGGAGGATTTGGTGGGGGGGGGGGGTAGGCGGAGGCTAGGAAGGAATGGGAAGGGTAAACAAAGGAGGAGGCTACAATGCTTGATAAGAAATGTACTCATTATCTTGCCCATGAAATTGTAACCCCTCTGTACAGTATTTTCACAATAAAAAATATTAAAAAAAAAGATGTCAGTGAGACATAAAATGTCTAGTAGAAGTGAGCACAAATATATTGAATACTAAGATACCAGCATTGCCTGATATTCCAGGGAAAATAGTATAGAACTTTACATTCTCCCTGCAACAAGATTCTGGCTGGATTTTTCATAGCCAGATCCTATAAAAGCACAAGAGATACAAACTCACACCTAGAGATGCCTACAGCAAAGCTGAGTCCTGGGTCATCTCCTTACTAGTACACATGGGAACAAACAAACACACACCAAAAACCTAAACAACAAGGACATAGCATAGGCATGTATGGTGAATGGAGAGGATAAGCAGAGGGTATAGAGATGTTTGCTAACATGAACAGATTTGGTATCAGTAGTCAGAATTTCATGGTGATAACTAGAATCATCACAAATGACAGACATGGCACAATATAAACAATTCCAAATTAAGAAAAAAATGTAGCTCATTTATTATGGAACAGTAAAGAAACCTATAGCTCCAAAAGCTGGTGAGCCTGCGAGTGAGTCACATTGGAAGAATTATGCAGTGTGCTGCTTCCCCTCTATTACTTCATCTGATGAATTATCATTTTACATAAAAAAGAACAAGACTATTTTAAATGCATAAAATCCATGTAAAACGCAAACTAGAAACTGGAATTAAATGTAGAGTGTGGCAGTGATAGGATGTTGGTCACTTGCCAAATTGATTACAAAATGCAGAATTTTACTTTGGGTGTTATGGAGATTGAAACTCAAAATTTCCTGTCTGCTACACAATTACACTGTCACTCTGCTTTTGTTTTTCCGACAGGGTAGCATGCTTTTATTTTAGTTGGTCTGGCAATGCACTTTCAACTTCAGACTTTGTGTTTGTTCATTATAATATGGAAGAATGTTTGGATTTTTTTACAAATATTCACTGAATCTTATAATCAAGGATTAATTTAGTTTGGGAAGGGGTACAAGATGTCCCCTTCCTCCATGACCACCAGTCAGTCACCACCTTGAACCCCAAAGATTATAAATTGATTCAAGTTGAAATCTGGATAGAATTGAGACCACTGTAACTATCATTTGTTTATGCATTATACAGCCTATGGATGTCTACAAACTCCATTGGGATTTCAAGGCTTTCTCTGGAAAGCCCTTGAGAATTTATTTGGCCATTAAGATGTTATTCAGAGAAACATCAGGTCTGGAAACAAGTTCCTACAAACACCATAAATAAGGAAGTAAGGCTGAATAGCAATTGAAAATACATTAAATGGTCACATAGATCTCAACCCCTCTCAGATCTGATGCTTTTCTCTTCCCCAGGACCAGAAAAAAAGCACAGTACCACTGAGGCAGTGTGGCATTGGTTTTTGTCCTGTCTTCAACTTGATTCCAAATTACAATAAGTGAAAGTCATTAGCATTAAATTAATAGCCCTCATTTCCCAAATTGCCAAATTTAGCAGTCTCATTGAAATAATTACAAATTTGCCTTCATTGTCATCCAGAAGGCCTATCTTCTATACCAACCACTTTAGGAATTTCACCCAGATATCTGTGCCTCCCACCCTCACATCTAGATCAATTGAGAAACAAAGTGATATTTAAAATGCGACACAATGCTACTAACTCTTTAAAACAGCTATTTTTTATTCACCCTTGAAGTTGCCCAGTGCTGACCAGCTGGTTTTAAAAAGTATGGATGACCCTCTCCATTCTCCAGGTAGTAGCAGAAATTTGGACACATGTAAGCAGAAAGAGATACATGAGGACTAGGGAGTTTGAAAGTACGTGTTTTGCCCTAAATTTGATGTGGAATGATCAGAGGACAATGGATATATGAATGCGCTGTAGTTCTTGGATAATATGAAACTGTAAGTCCAAGTAAAAATTGTACCTGGTGATCTGGCAAATCACAAAAACTTACGAAATTTTGGACTTTTCTGGTAGCAACATGTTTTTGCTTCAGCCCTCTAGCCATCTAACCACAGAACATGCTTACTAAAACCCTTGGTATAGTTGTTTTCTCTCATTTTGAAAATTTTCCTGTGTAGCAAATTTTTTTGTTTATGCAGTAAATTCAATTAGGAAGAGTTAGACTCAGTCTTTATATCTACTCTTGGGAAGAATCACATTTTACTTTGTGTATATGTTTGTTTTAGAAGAGCCTGAAGTATAAATTGCTTGAAAATTTAACAGCTTATTTATGTCTTGCTAGGCCAATGAGAAAGTTTCAATGTATAGAGATATTAAACCAGTTAAAAATATCCACAAGGGCTGGGAAGGTGGCTCAGTGGTAGAGCACTCGCCTTGCATGCTTGAGGCCCTGGGTTCGATTCCTCAGCACCACATAAGCAGAAAAAAAAGCCAGAAGTGGTGCTGTCGCTCAAGTGGTAGAGTGCTAGCCTTGAGCTGAAGAGATGAAGGACAGCACCCAGGCCCAGAATTCAGGCCCCACAACTGGACCCCTCCCCCCCCCCCCCTGCAAAAAAATCCACAAATTCTATTCTTTCCATATCTTCACTTCTCTACATGTTCTGAATATGAAGAACTCAATTATTACTTTACTCTTCTACCTTTCAAGTGTCATGACATAAGGATTGAAAAACTCAAAAGAAATGTTCATCATCCCTGAATATACCAATAGATCTATTCAAAGGACAGTAGACTCGTCACAGTTTTGCTGTATTGGTGAAACAAAGTCTCTGGGCTAAACTAAGGTACGTAGGCACCGTGGAAATATGAGGATTTCCTGAGTTGAGCTGGTCCTATAGCTATTATCAGCTTTACCGACCTTTGCTGATTTGCATATGCTCAGAGCACACCCTACTGCCCCCAATGACTTCATAATAGGCTGCTCACACCCTGTACAGCAGTCAGACCCAGTCAGCAAACAGCATGGACATGAGGACCCCTGCTCAGCTCCTGGGGATCATGCTGCTCTGGCTCCCAGGTGAGGAAGCACAGCACTCCTCCCATCCTCTGTTCAGTGCTGCCTGGGTCTTCAGGGAAGGCCTCCTATAACATGACTAAAAGTGAGGACATTTGTGTTTTTGTTTCCAATGACAGGTTTAAGATATGACATCCAGATGACCCAATCTCCACCATTCCTGTCTGCATCTCCAGGCGACAGAGTCTCTATCACTTGCCGGGCCAGTCAGGACATTAACTATTATTTACACTGGTATCAGCAGAAACCAGGGAATGCTCCAAAGCTTCTGATCTATAACGCAAATAGTTTAGCCTCTGGAATTCCATCAAGGTTCAGTGGGAGTCAATCTGGGACCAAGTTCACTATCACAATCAGCAGCCTACAGTCTGATGATTTTGCCACTTATTACTATCTACAGGGTAGTAGTTACCCTCACACAGTGATACAAGCCATAACATAAACCTCCCAGGGAAGCAGAAGTGAGAGGCTGGGCTGCCCAGCTACTCCTCCTGGTGCTTCCATCTGCTGATAAAGCTTCTCAGATGTAGCACAGCTATGAACACTTTTGAAGTTTTCCATTGAAATGTGAAGGCTCCTCTGAATCTTTGTCCCTTTTCTCCTTCTCTAGCAGAAGCACAGACATGGCCATGTGTCTTCTCATATAAAGTCATTCTTTCTGATTCACACAGTAAAACAGAAGCCAGACAAGAATCTCTAAGAAGGAATTCTTTTAATTCAGGAAATGAGTCTAATCATTAGGTTCTTTAATCCTAGGTCATCAGAGAATATGGAAGGGGAAGTGTGGCATTCTCTGGTTCAGTGAGGCTGTCCTAGGGTTTTGAGCACATAATCCTATGACTCTCAGCCCTGTGGAAAAAGCCAGGTTGAGTGGCTGATGCTCTCACCTGACCCAACTGCCTCTCCAGGGGAATTCTCCAGGCCCAGATGTCAGGCAGCTTATGTCAAAAATTATAGAAGTCTCGATTTTCTGGGAAGTTGGCAGAGGAGAAGCTGGAGGCTAAACAAGCTCTCACATAGAAAGCAGTTTTAGTGTTCCAGTGAACAGTCCTAGGCCAGAGAATCACACCAAGTGTGCCTTCACAGTATAGAGAGTTTGGCCAGAGAGGGAAAATCCAGGCAAGAAGACAGATCTGAGTACTGTCAGGTAGCCAGGCTGTGGCAGCTGTGGTAGCATCCATAGTGACCATACCTACAACACAGAGAGTCTGGGACAAAGGTGCCAGATGCAGCGGGTGAGTAGATTCTACTCAACACCAGCAAGAACTGACAAGGATCAGGTATCTTCATCCTGTTGATAGCAGACCAGAGACGACCTAGGAACCAATACTCCGGCTTGAGTAGAACTCTGATATCCTCACTCCTTCTCAGGGAGCAGAGGAGGGAAGGCTGCCCCTCCCCAACCCTACCACAGAGATCTCCATCTTTGATACAGACAAGGGCCTGGCTGAGCAGCTAGCTCCCACTCAGGCCTTGGAAGAAAACAAAAGCCATTTAGCCTATCACAGAAACCTGTCCAGACCTGCCAGGCTCAACTCTATCCAGGGGAATGTCACCCAGCCCAGGCAAAGGAGGCCCTGCCCTAGAGGAGTGGCTTTCTTCACTGGGTAAACAGAGCCAGAGGATGACCCTCCCTACAGCAGCCTTGACAATCAATTGAAATTCAGTAAACATAAGCCCTGAGAATGGCTCCAAGCTGGGCTCTGTGAGTGTCTCTGGAGCTAGATCCTCAGGGAAAAGCTACTGTTTGCTGAAAGGCCTCAGCCCTACGCAGAACCTAGATTCATCACAGAATCTCCAAACTAGAGGAAACAGCCATCTCCCTCTTTTGTGATACTCAAAGTAGATCTCCCTCAAACTGAACTAGCCTGAGAGGAGTATCACAGAATCTTGGGAAAAGCAGAGCATTTTTCTGCCTCCTCAAACTGACTTAGGAAACCAATCAAGCCACAGGAAAACCTAACACCACAAGCAGACCAGAGACACCACCAAGAGACTGGTTACAGACACAAGGGAGATACAGAATCTTCCCATCACCCCCCCCCCCCAAAAAAAAAAATCAAAGAACTCTTTTTGTACCTTTTTAATTTTTTTTAAATTTTTTTCCTCTTATAATTTTTATTTTAGGTTTATATGTGTGTCTGTGCTTTATTTTTATTTATCTCTATTGACCTTTTGGTGCCTTATTTTTTCTGTCTTTATTTTTTTCTTTTTTTCATTCTTTTCAATTTTTTCTCTTTCATTTTTGCGTGACTTAATTTCTGTTCGTTCTTCCTCAGATATATCTGTCATCGATTATTAGACCTTATCCCCCACTGTGTACACATTTAATCCAGAAATTTATTACTCATTTTACAACCTCTTATGCTTAAATTCTTTAATAGCAGTATTATTTCTTTATCTCTATATAATTTTTTAAGAATTTTTGTTTTTCTATTTTTTCTTGTTTTTTTTTTCTTTTCTTTTTTAATCTCTCTCATATCATTCTGTCCATTCCCTCTTTGAGATTAGGACTTGGTTAAATTCACTCTCCTTTTACCTCTCCATACCCCTCTAATCCTATTTTTCCCATATTTCTCCCTAAACCTAATAATTTCTGGTTTTCCAAATTCTTCCTTGCTTTTCTTATCCCATTATTCCATAGTTATTTGATGTTGAGCAGATTGTATCTGTTGAACTATATTATATCTGCAGCCTTGTGACTGTGCAACTACAGGACTTTGGTTGATGCTTGCCTTAAAATAGTGTTCTTGCACAAAATTGATGTTACTTTCATGCCAAATGGGCAGAACAAGCTGGAAAAACAAGAAAAAATGGCAAGTCCAGGTATCTCAACTTCCTCTCATGATAATCAGGTGACAGAACAGTTAATGAAAAATCCAGAGCAGAGTTCCCAATGAGCTCTACAAACACTTCTGGTAAACATGTTGAATGAAAAGATCGAAAACCTGGAAAGGACTCAGTGTCAGCATGATAGGGAGAGAGAGGAGGCAAACAAAATATAAATACAGGAATCTCATGAGAGTGAGGAAGCTATTCAAAGATTGATACAGGAATTGCATGAGCAGGCTGGGAACAGACAAATAGAGACACAGGAATTGTGTGAGCAGGCTGAGAACACTCAAAGAGAACTACAGGAATTGTGTGAACGTGAGGATTCTAATCAAAGAGTAAAACAGGAATTGGGAGAGTGGGATGAGAATAGACAAAGATCAATAGAGGCATTCATGGAATCCATAAACAGCTGAAAGAATTCAGGGGGACTACAAAGGGAATGCTGAATGGAGCCCGACAGAAGGAAGGGGAGTCCAAGAAACCATAACCAATCAACTAAGTGATTTGAGAATAAATATTGAACACCAAATTAAGGAAGTAAAGAAGTTCATACAAGATCTAAAACAAAGCTCCAAGAAAGAATTTGAAGCTATTACAGCTGACCAATTAGAAGGATAAGAAATAAAAAACAAAGTAATAAGTCTTGACAGTAGGTTAGACTATGCAGAAGATCGAATCTCAGGGATTGAAGACAGCCTAGATATTATAGAGAAAGAACATGCAACTATCCAAGACAAATCCAAGAAATATGACAGATCTATTCAACATTTGAAAGACACCATCAGAAGGCCTAATCTGAGGATAATGGGTGTAGAGGAGCACCTAGAGACAGAAGTTAATGGTCTAGGAAATTTGTTTAACAGTATCCTAGCAGAGAACTTCCCAAACATGCAAAAAGATAGGCCTATTCAGATACAAGAAGCTTTTAGAACCCCAAATAGTCCAGACTAGAACAAGACATCCCTAGGTCAGGTTATAATCCACACAGGATCAATTCAGACCAAGGAAAAGATCCTTAAAGCTGTCAAGGAAAAAATATTAATCACCTATAAAGGGAAACCAATTAGATTCACCTTAGATTTCGCAGCAGAGACAAAGCAAGAAGAGCCTGAAATGATATACGCCATTCCCTAAAGACAAACAATTATCAACCAAGAATACTGTACCCAGCTAAACTCTCCTTCATAACTGAAGGTCAAATAAAAACCTTCCATATTAAAGAAAAATTGAAACAATATATCTCCACCAAACCAGCCCTACAAAAGATACTCAAAGATGTCCAACACATAGAAAACCAACAAGATCACAATAAAGGACAAGAAACCTCACCCAAACAGAATCCAAGTAACATAGGAAGGACCCAGATGCCAAAGCCCCAAAGAAGATGGATAACAGCCGGGCGCTGGTGGCTCACGCCTGTAATCCTAGCTACTCAGGAGGCTGAGATCTGAGGATCGCGGTTCAAAGCCAGCCCGGGCAGGAGAGACCGTGAGACTCCTATCTCCAATAAACCACCAGAAAACCAGAAGTGGCGCTGTAGCTCAAGTGGTAGAGCACTCGCCTTGAGCTGAAGAGCTGAGGGACAGCGCCCAGGCCCAGAGTTCAAGCCCCACGACCGACAAAAAAAAAAAAAAAAGAAGATGGATAACTTGGAAGGAACTCCCAAATACCTCTCAGTCTTATCTCTCAACATTAACAGACTTAACTCTCCAATTAAGTGACATAGACTCTCTAGTTGGAATAAAAAGTAAGATCCTTCTATTTGCTGCATTCAAGAATCACACTTTGCCCATAAAAAACAAACACACTTGAAAGTGAAACACTAGAACAAAATCTACCAAGTAAATGGCCCCCATAAACAGGTGGGAGTTGCAATCCTAATATCAGATAAAATAGACTTCAGATTAAAATTAGTGAGAAGAGATAAAGAAGGCAGCTACATACAAATTAGGGGATCTGTCCTTCAGGAGGATATTACAATTCTAAATATCAATTCACCAAACAACAGAGTACCCAAATTTATCCAAGAAACACTACTTTCCTTCAAATCTCACATAGGTCCAAAGACATTAATTGTTGGGGATTTTAACACATCACTATCCCCACTAGATAGATCAACTCGGCAAAAATTGAACAGAGAAACTGGAGAGCTAAAAAACTGCATAGATCAACTAGATTTAACAGACATCTACCAAATATTTCATCCAGCAGCATTAGAACACACGTTTTTCTCAGCAGCACATGGAACATTTTCCAAAATAGACCACATTTTAGGTCACAAAGAAAACTTGTCCAAATTCAGAAACATTGAAATTATACCTTGCATTCTCTCAGATCACAAGGGAATAAAAGTAGAACTCAACATCAAAAGCCACGAAAGAAAGTCCTGTAACACATGGAGGCTGAACAACATACTGCTGAATCATCAGTGGGTCATGGAAGAGATTAGAAAGGAAATTCAAATCTTCATGATATTCAACAAAAATGAACATACAAATTACGAGCTCTTCTGGGACATAGCAAAGGCAGTACTCAGAGGCAAGTTTATAGCTCTGAGTTCCTACATTACAAATTAGAGAGATCTGAAACCAACAATTTAATGAGATATCTGAGCCTCCTTGATAAAAAGCAATT